TCATTTCCAATATGTGAATGTTGCTTTGTCTCTTCTGGCGTGTAATGCACGTGAACCATTTTTGGATAGAATAGTCACCGGTAATGAAAAATGAATTCTATGTCTGAATATTAAATGCCAAGATCCACTTCCAACCCCAAAACCTGGACTCCATTCATAGAAAGTGATGCTTTGCATTTGGTGGGACATCAAAGGAGTAATTCATTTTGAACCTCTCAATCCACAGTGAACTGTAAATGCAGAAATCTTTAGTCAGCAACATCAGAAATACCCTTCACTCGTCAATCGGAAAGATGTTCTTCTTCACGACAATGCACATCCACATGTGGCACGTTTGATGCAACACAAGATTATAGAGTTGGGTTCGGAAGTTTTCCCCCACCTACCATATTCTCCAGATATGGCACTATCAAATTACCATCTTTTTCGTTCACTGCAAAACCATCTTAACGGGAAAACTTATGCAAATGTGGAAGGTATTAAAGAGGACATCATGTTTTTTGTTTCAAAGTCAAGTGATTTCTTTAATTGGGGAATTAACAACCTGATTGTAAGATGAAAAAGCATCATTGATAAGAATGAATCTATTTCATTTAATGAATGTTTTGATGTATAAGTTGTTCAGGTTTTTTTATCTCAAAAAAAGTGACATTAATTTATTGATGACCTAATATTTTGTGTGTTATGAAATGCATATTTGAAAGCCACATTACTTGTTTTTGGACACCCATATTTGTGAGATCTAATGAGCCTTAGGAAAGAATGTCTAAGACTTTTACTTGAATGCAAGCAACTGGAGTATGCAGTGAGTTATACAAATCCTTGATTTTTATGTATATTTTTATTTATTGTTACACATGTTTTAACAAAGTAACTGGAATGTAAAAATTATAAATTCTCAGCTTAGTCTAATAAAACATCTAAAATTTCACAAACTTCATCACCATGTGAATATGGGAAAACTCTGTAAAGAAGGAAGCAGCTAATGTGCTGTTATTGTGAGTTATCGTTTATGATGCATGGATTAGTGCTCCAATGAGAAGCAATAAAAACCCTAAAATTAAAAGGTAACATGTGAAAAGGTTAACAGTTGAAATAAGTTATTTGGAACTTTCAACACAGTTGCCAGTGCAGAAGAAAAAAATTGTATTTATTCACTTTATTTCAAATTTTTTAACTTTTCATTGTGCATTAATGATTTCTCTATAATTAGTGTTAGAGTAGAAAATATAGAGATAAAGTATAGAGCTTTACAGAATAACAACTTTGATATTTATTTAGGAGGTTCTAGAGGTTATGCAAATGAAATATGAAAACTATAAGATGAAAAGAAGTATTTTTATTGTTAGCATGAAAATCATCTTTCACTCTGACTGACTCAGTAAAGGCTTTAGAAATTTACACACAAGTCTTTATTAAAAGTGTAGTTTTTTTTATGTACAACAGACTTTTAATGTTTACTAAAAGCTTCATTTTTATAAGATTAACTCTTTCAGCATGGGCTTGGCCCCTGGGACCGACCACACAACCATTTTGTGCTTGTTATAGTTTTTAAATTAGTAAGCGAATGTTAACGAAATTTGGCAGATTATCAGTAAACTTTACAATGCTTTCATACACAAAATATACAACTTTTTATTAAATATTAAAGTTTGTAAAGCAATGTTTTTCTCGTATTTTTTTTTTCTTTTCACATGTTGCCTATCTATCATGCAAAGTAATTTTCATTTTAAGATTAAAATTACTTTTATGCATCAGAAAATTTTGAAATTTCACATGAGAAATCTTTATAATGTCCAGACAGTTATCAAATGTTTCTCAAGAAAAAACTTTATATTTTATCTCTTATTTTCAGTAATTAATCTCTGTATGGGTTTGGTAGATTTGACCAACCTTGTAACCGCTATAAAAAATTAAGAAATAAATTTAAATTATGCTTTTTTCGTTCTAGAATGGCTACAGATTATAACACAAAAACACAAATGTTTAGTGTAAATAGCTTAGATCTCATAACGTTGTACATTTATATATATTTATTATTTTTATTATATTGACCTTCCAGCCATGCCTAGCTAACAATACAGAAGTTACAATGACATGGCGCATGTGCACTTATAATACTGTATCCAATAATATAAAACTGACCTTTAGTCTTTACAAAATGACCTGTCTTGGCTGTGTATTAGTGGACTAGTATTTTGTAAAATATAGTCACATTTTCAGTATTATACATTATATATGTATAGAGATTATTACTATTTAGAAATAAGTTCTTAAACTTATTTTTCT